AGTCACTTGTGATCTTCCTGAAATGTTAGTGCTCAACGAAAATAACAAATAAAATAATAATCAATGAAAAACGGTTCCAAAACACTCATTATTTGGCATCATCAAAATCTCAAACTCGGGGTCATGGGTTGCAACACACTCAAGGTATAGCAAGTCAAAAAATGGTCAATATCTTCAAGGAAAAGTTAAATCACCTATTTTTTTCCAATCCAATAAGAAAGCCGGCTTCTGCTAATGCTGCTGAAAGGTTTCCTCTCCCAGCATCTCTTCCAGTCACAGCATACTCACTAACAAAAGCCTGGGAATAAAAAGAACCAACCGTCTACAAAATTACATACCAGGGCTTCTTGAAAATTGACAGGATACTTAGCCTTCAATTCACCTTACCTTGGGACCAATACGCTTTAGCGATCAAATTGATAAACCCTAGAAAACATGTCTGAAGCAGAGGTGTAAACCTAGAAAGTAACCAGGATCATAATAGTTTGTTTTCCTACTTATGTTGCACACAATGCACTGAAGAAAGTGAGATTAGTCTTACAAACTTCAGAACAGGACACTATCCACATTCTTACATGAATATCATACAGATCAGCAGGATGATCAAGTTCTTGTGAAGAAGCATCGCAGTTTGTAATAATTTTGATATCCGGATAGGCAGCTTTTACGAGAGAGTGAAACTTCAGGTAGTTTCCTGTCCATACGAAGTCAATGTGCATATAAAAAATAAAAAAATAATAAAAAATTTATGTTTCGAAGAACAAATGAAATGACTCCTAGGTTAGATTTTCATCCACTAAAGCAGAGACAAAACTATCATTCCTCGCAAATGAAGTTTCGGAGAGCCAAATAGTACTTACACAATGATGTGCCGCCGGCCCAGGAGCGGCCGGCCGGACCGGTCCATGTTTATTCAAGGCGGAATAGAGAGGGGGGGGGGAATCTAGAGGTGGGCCAGGCTTGGCTTAATTCATCTTAGGAGGGAAAATTTGAATGTTGGGGCTATTTTAGGAAGTTTTTAATTTTCCTTTGTGTTTAATTTGGAAATTGGGGGGAATTTGTTTGTCATCTTGAATTTGAATGACAATTTTAGATCTAGGGGTTTTCTTTCTTTTGGACTCTTGGCATCGCTGGAGATTGGAGAGTAGTTCATCCTCTTGGATTGAAGAACAATTGTATCTTTGATGTTTTTATTCTTCTACTAGTGGAATACAAGCGTTTGTTTGGTTTTCTCCCAGATTTCCCTTTGTATTTCTCTGTTATGGTGTTGTGTTCTGCTGTCAGCAGCAGAATTTTTGTGATTTGCTCATCCTTTTGGCTTAGGTTTGCTTGCGAACTCAAGTATTACCTTAGGTTTACTTGAGGACTCAAGTATTTCCTATCAAATTAGTATCAGAGCGTCTTTTTTGGGACCGTTGGTGGCTGAATTCCTGTGATTTCAGCGGAGTTTTCGTTTCCAGAAGAAGATATCCCTCTTGGTTAGCTTGGGACTAAGTTCATAAGGGCTGAACATCCCGAACGAACTTTCAACGATGGCCAAGAGAAGGTAGAAGTCTTGGAAGGCAAAGTCGGACAATTGAAATCCGATTTGGAGGAAAGATTTTTTTATTTTCAAAATCAAATCACCACCCACAATGAAAAGTTGGAGAGGAAGTTCACTGTCATGGAAGAAATGCTTAAAAAGTTACTGGAGATGAAGACAAATCCGACGACGTTGGAAGTAAGAAAGACTACCGGAGGCCACGTCGGGGGAAGAAATACAATCCCTTTAGGGGGAGGAGAAATCCGGAAGTGGAGGTCATTGAGGGGGAGGACGACATGTCGCCTCTAGAGCCACTTTCTAGAGAAGAGATGAGCTTGGGGAATGATCGAAGGGGTGCTGATTTCATCGGAAGAAGGGAGGAATTCCATCGGCGAGGAGCTGATTTTGAAGGGAGAAGAGGAGAATATGACGAAGGGTTCAGGTATAATTGCCGGAGGGAAGATCGTGATAGTTAGGGAGCACCTCATCTCCGAGGGATGGGAGGGTATGGAGGATTCAGGGGACACGAGTGAGACCCACGAATGAGGAAGCTGAAGATGCCCATCTTTGAGGGTGAAGACGACCATGGTTGGATCTACAAAGTAGAGCGTTACTTCACTGTCAACGGGTTGACAGAGGATAAAAAGTTGACAGCGGCGGGTTTGTGTCTGGAAGGAAAACCTTTGGTATGGTATCAATGGCGTGACAGGAGGGAGCCCATCCGGAGCTGGAGAGAATTCAAAGATTGCTTATTAGAGCGTTTTCGATCCGATGGGGGAGGAGACTTCTATGAGCAATTCTTTGCCTATACTCAGGAGGGGACTGTTGCAGATTATCAGAACCGGTTTGAGTACTTAGCTAGCAGATTAGATCACATTTCAGAGTCAGCCTTGGAAGGGAACTTCATGAATGGGTTGAAACCAGAGATCCGAATAGCAATCATGGTGCTGGAGCCGAAGAACCTGGGAAAGGCTATGGAACTGGCACAGTTGGTGGAAGATCAAAAGAGATTATAAAGACAAGCTCGAGGGAACTATTCTGGGGGATCATACAAGATGACTACCACCTTCTTACCATCGAAAGGGGGAGCACCAGGGGGGCAGAAGGAAGCACCCAAGGAGAAGATTGGAGGGGGAAATGGGGGACAATTCAAAAAGTTGACGAACTCTTCAGGTTCTCCTTGTCTGTGAAGATGAGGAAGATGAGGGAGGTGGGAGCAGAACTGAGGAGGAGAGAGAGAGAGAGAGAGCCTTTGGCATACTCAATGGGAAAGACTAAGTGGTCTATGTTGTTAGATTTGAAACCTAGTTTCATCTGTCAAGAAATCTTGCAATGAGTGTATGAAAGATAGAACTGCACAAGAGAAGATGTGTAAGTTTCATTTTAATCATAACAAGTGAAGGTGTTATACATCAATAAGGTCATCGAGGGTTTTTAATCAACTTTATCATAGAAGGTTGCTCTAAAATCCTCCTCTTGTTAAAGAGCAATTGCTTGTAATCTCTAGTGGTCTGGAGAAGTCAAACATATAATTATATTATGTTGTATAACATAATGCAGTTTGCTTAGGAATGGTCTGATGGTTTTTCAAATAACACCTTCACTTGTATCATAATAGAAGTCTAGCTACCAGAATTAGTATCTTGATATAAGTATTAATGCAAGAAAATTCAAATTTTCATTGAAACATAAATCTCTTATGCAAGAAAGTTAATCTTGGCATCAAGATTATATGCATATAATTTGAGTTAATTTAGCTTTCAAAACAAAAAAATTAAGGTAATCCTTGAATAGAAGCTAAACCATATAGGTAAAACTATAAAATTAAAAATTATATCAAGTAATGTTTCACTTTATATGCAAAATCTCACATAATGTAACAACATTTTCAAGCAATTATTACCACGAAACAAAGATAAAGATAAAAAGGACAAAATAGTCTCTAAACTATTTATAGAGGGTCATTTTAGTCCTAGAATATCTTATGTGTTCAATTTAGTCATTAGTGTTAGACTATCTAATAAGTCATCAAATCTAATCCGAAATAGCCTCTTCAGTTCTCAAATTTAATCCAAAATAATTTCATAGAGGAACTATTTTGGATCATATTTGAGAAATCAATAGACTAAAACAAATTTATAGTCTGGGATAAAAATAATCTCCTGCAAAGAGACTGACCCATTTGATATTTTTCTCTGAAATTAAATATGCACCTCGATAATTTTGTTTGAAACAATCCTGGTTCCCAACTGCAATTAAGTTCAGTTGAAATGGCTCTAGATGTCCCATTGATGTTCGAACAGAGCCCCAATTTGAATATGAATCTCCCCTAGCAAACTCAATACCATCAAGAGTATCCTGCAAAAAGGAAACTATATAAGAATACAGGCACATCATGACCAATGTAAGTAATGACCTAGAGCTACATCAATGCAGTTGAAGTTCAATCAATTATTATGTAAGCAAGCAATAAAAGTGCAGATGTGTTAGATCTCATTTTTCTTGAATCCAGAGCATGATATTTTATGCCATAATATATATTTAGGATAGATTGAATAGATTGAAAAGGGGGAAAAGGTATAATATTCTATTCCAAAAAATTAAGATCCTTCCCATCAATGCCATAGGTAGAAATAACATCACATTTTTCGGTGCAAAAGCTTAATAAAATGAAAAAAAAATTAATTCTTCTAATGATAATGAAACAAGTTTACGCTCCAAGTTGGTAAACGGTGAAGCATTGTTTGATTAGCAAGGCACAATGTTATCTTCTTATGTTGCTAAAACTACAAAGTAAAGAATAAATATCAGGCCAATAAACTATACTAATTCTATTTAGTGAATCTCTACGACATATGATTCTCATTGGCTTGATAAACAGAATAATGTCAGTCAGAGATCTAAAATATTATACTGTGATAATCAGTTTGAATTTTCAAAAAGAAAAATAATTATTTGTAAAGCCGACTCTAAATAGTTGGGATAAGGCTAATGTTGATCAGAATTGTGAATTTTGAATTGTACTCAATCAATTCACTCCTTGTAGGCTAGTGCTACTAGTGGGTAGTTAATGTAACTCTTTTGGAACTTCTACGATTCGGGGCTTCTTACTGGTGGTTAATGTAAATTCTTGTAGTACTGCTTGCAAAAAGGTTATGCTGAGAGACATGAAACATCCTTGGTGATCCAATCTTCTTCTTAAAACATGAGGCTTGCCTATCTATTACTTGTTTCCATCTCCTTCTTTCCCTGTTTCGCTTTCTCCATATTCTTTTCTTCAATTATTCACCATCCTAATTTAATCATGTTTTTTTTTTCCATTAAGTTAGGATTTTTCTTTCCTTAGGATTGGATGTCCTGGTCGAGGATAATGTCATTCGTGGCCCTATCCTTGTTTACTCCACTTTTTTTTTGCTTTAGGTTTGGATTATTCTTTTTCTTTGGATTAGACGTATTAGTGTTGGATAACGCCGTTCGTAGTACCATCCTAGTTTAATCTAATTTTCTTTCGTTGAGGTTAGGATTCTTCCTTTCTTTAGATTAGATATGCTAGTCATGTACAATGCCCTTCTTGGGACGATACTAGTTTAATCCAATTTTTAATTTCTTTTGGTTAGGATTCTTCCTTTCCTTAGGAATAGACGTGAAAGCGATGGATAGTGCCCTTCGTGGCAACATCCTAGTTTAATCAAGTTTTTTTTCCTTTATATTAGAATTTTTCCTTTCCTTCGGATTAAAAGTATTAGTGGTGGATAGTGCCTTTTGTGGCATCGTCCTAGTCTTAATTCAGTTTTCTATTTTCTTTCAAGTTAGGATTCTTTATTTCCTTAGGATTAGGCGTGCTAGTGGGGGATAATTCCCCTCATGACACCATCCTAGTTTAATCTAGTTTTCTTTTCCTTTAAGTTAAAATTCTTCCTTTCCGTAGTATTAGACGTATTAGTTATATACAACACCCTTTGAGAAACCATACAAGTTTAATCTAGTATTCTTTTCCTTTTGATTAGGATTCTTCATTTCCTTAGGATTACATGTGTTAGTAGTGGATAACACCCTTCGTGGAACTATCCTAGTTTAATCCAGTTTATTTTCCATTTATCTAGGATTTTTCCTTTCCTTAAGATTAAACGTGCTAGTGGTAGATAATACCCTTCATGACCTTATCATAATTTAACACAGTTTTCATTTCCTTTAGGTTAGGATTCTTTCTTTCTTAGGATATGACATGCTAGTGGTAAATAACGCCCTTTATCACACCGTCTTAATTTATTCCAATTTTCTTTTCCTTTACGTTAGGATTTTCCTTTCCTCAAAATTAGACGCACTTGTGGTATATAATGCCCTTCGTGGCACCATCCTACTTTATTCTAGTTTTTTTCGTTAGGTTAACATTTTTATTTTCTGTAGGAATAGACATGCTAGAGGTGGACACAATCCTAGTTTAATCTAGTTTTCTTTTTATTTAGGTTAGGAATTTTCCTTTTCTTAGAATTTGACGTGCTAGTAGTGAACAACACCCTTCGTGGCACTATCTTAGTTTAATCCAGTTTTCATTTCTTTTATTTCGTCTTAATACAATTTTCTTTTCATTTAGGTTTGGATTTTTTCGTTCCTTAGGATTAGACCCTTCGTGGCACTATCCTAATTAAATCCAATATTTTTCTTAATGTTAAGATTCTTCCTTTCCGTAGGATTAGACATGCTAGGGGTGGATACCATCTTAGTTTAATCCAATTGTCTTTTCCTTTAAGTTAGGATTTTATCTTTTCCTTAGGATAAGACGCGCTAGTAGTGTACAATACCCTTCGTGGCACCATCTTAGTTTAATCTAATTTTCTTTTCCTTTATTTTAGAATTATTCCTTTGCTTAGGATATGACGTGCTAGTGGTGAACAACGTCCTTCGTGTCACCATCCTAGTTTTATCACGATTTATTTTCCTTTAGGTTATGATTATTCCTTTTTATAGGATTAGACGTGCTAGTCGTGTACAATGCCATTCGTGGCACCGTACTAGTTTAATGCAATTTTCTTTTCATTTATGTTTAGATTGTTCCATTTATTAGGATTAGACGTGCTAGGGGTGGATAATGTCATTCGTGGCACCATCCTAGTTTATTCCAGTGTATTTTTCTTTAGGTTAAGATTTTTTTTTTCCGTAGGATTAGAAATGCTAGGGGTGGATACCATCCTAATTTAATCTAATTTTATTTTCTTTTAGGTTAGGATTTTTCCTTTCCTTAGGATTAGACGCGCTTGTAGTGGAGAACTCCCTTCGTGGCACCATCTTATTTTAATCCAATTTTCATTTCCTTTATTTTGGGATTTTTCTTTTTCTTAGGATATGACGTGTTAATGGTAAATAACGTCCTTCATGGCACCATCCTAGTTTTATCAGGTTTTCTTTTTTATTTTGTTAGGATTCCTTCCGTTTGTAGCATAGTTTAAAATTGCGCAATCAGAGGCACGCCTCTGTGCAATTCTGGTCAAAATTGCCTCATTGCCTAGGCAATTCTGGTTCCTCATGAGGCGTACGCCTCCTCCACTATGAGGCGCGCCTCAAGGCGAAATTACGCAATTCCGTGTGAGGCGCCCGCCTCTAATAATCGTACCCACGCACTTAAGTTTAAGTGAAATAAGCTTCTTCCTCCCCTTTCAAACAGCCTACCCGAAACCAAGCATGCAAAAAAACCCGCAGCTCGCAAGATCTTCCGCACGTCTACTCGACCTCCTTCCCGCCGCCTCTCCCGTCGATGTCGCCTCACTCTGGAAAGCTGGAAGTGTCCGTCCGCCCTCTAGGAGAAGTCCACAAATGATTTTAGGTATTTCTTTTAGTTCAACAAAAGATTTTTTAAATGAAAGAAAATCTAGGGTTTTAATTTTTTAGAGATTTTATTTTTAATTTTGCATTTGTGCTTTAGGAAATATGGTTAGGGGCAAGAAAAGTCTAATACATCATTGAGGCATGATCCTTCTTGGAAGTACAGTATACAAGTTGATGTAAAAGGCGGTGAGAAGATGTATGTTTATTTAAAATATAATTTTTGTGATAGTGGTGAAGGGAGGAGTAACTCGCATGAAGGAACACTTATCCGGCTCACATAAGAATGTAGCACGTTGTGCGAATGTTCCGGATAACGTGAAGGAGGAAATTACAGCTTATATGAAAAATAGTATGACGGCCAAATATTTACAATAGGAGCAATTTGATAAAAGGGTCGAACATGGTGCTTACTTTGGGAGCGAGAGTGGAAAGGGCTCTTCCTCCACTATATATAATAGAGGTGCGCGGGGTCCTATGGACCAATATATGACTACTCCAGGAGAGGATAGAGGACAAGCACAGATGATGCCTACGATTGGTACCAAAGAGGGTCGAGATTTTGGCAGATTTTTTCTTTTTTTAGAATGTCATACTATTTCATTTTGCGACATCATTGGCTTACTTCAATATGCGACGGTCTGTAGGGTTGTGTGGGAGAGGGTTGAAGGCACCTTCCATGTACGAGTTGCGAAAATGGATTTTAAAGGAGCTGCAAAACATAGAGCATAGCATTGATGAAATTAAATGGACAAGGATTGAGATTGGTGTTACCATTATGTCAGATGGGGTTTATGACATAAAGAGCATGAGCTTGATTAATATCCTTATCAACAATCTTTATGACATTGTGTTTTTATGATTAGTTGAAGCTTCAGATGAGGTTAAAAATGCTAAATTCATTTTCAATTTACTAGATGGGGTTGTTAAGGAGATTGGGGAGCAATTGATTGTTCAAGTGGTGACTGACAATGCCAGTGCATACAAACCAGCTGGTCAGATGTTGATGGAGAAGAGGAAACACATGTATCGGACACCCTGCGCAGCACACTACATTGATCTTATATTAGAGGAACTTAATGATTTATCTCAACATAAGTGCTCTTTCAAGGGCGAAGAAGATCACAAAGTTCATATACAATCACTTATGGGTCTTAGCTTTAATGAGAAAGTTTTCAAAGAAGGAAATTATCCGTCCTGCAATCACTAGGTTCGTTATTACATTTATTTACTTCCAATCATTTTTAATTCATAATGCAAATTTATTCTACAGGTTTGCCACATCTTATTTTTGACACTGCAGAGCTTATTGGATGTGAGACAATCTCTTAAAGTAATGTTTACATCAACACAATGACTTAATTCTGCATGGGGGAAGAAACTGAGGGGAAGGAAATACGAAGGCTAATTTTAAATGATAAATTTTGAGCGACTGTGACCTATGCTATATTGAGCACGAGACCATTGGTACATGTTATACGTTTAGTAGATGCCGAGAAGAAATCAGTCATAGGTTTTATTTATAATGCTATGGATGAGGTGAAGGAGTTGATTGCACATAACTTGGGAGGAGAGGAGGCAAGTTATAGAGAGATTTGGGATATCATTGATGCTCGATGGGTGGTATAGTTACACTGTTATCTACATGCATCGATGCATTATCTCAATCCTCAATTTCAATATTCAGAGAGGAAATCTTCAAACTTGGAGGTGAAACTTGGCTTGTATCATTGCATGGACTGCCTTATATCCGACCAGACCGTTAGGGAGCTTGCAGATTTACAACTTATCCTATTTCAAAATAAGGAGGGATTTTTTGGTTTGCAAGCACCATCCTAGTTTTATCACGTTTTCTTTTCCTTTTTGTTAGGATTCTTTCCGTCTGTAAGACTAGACGTGCTAGTGGTGGATAACGCACTTCATGGCACCATCCATTTTTTTTCTTATAGTTTAGGATTTTATCTTTCCTTAGTATAAGTGCTAGTGGTGGATAACACCCTTCTTGGCACCATCCTTATTTTAATCCAGCTTCTTTTCTATTAGTTTACGACTCTTCATTTCCATAGGATTAGACGTACGAGTGGTGGAAAATGCCTTTTGTGGCACCATCCTAGTTTAATCCAGTTTTCTTTTCCTTTAAGTTATGATTATTCCTTTCCTTAGGACTAGACGTGCTAGTGGTGAACAATGCCCTTCGTGGTTCCATCCTATTTTAATTCAGTTTTCTTTTCCTTTATATTTGGATTCTTCTTTTCCATAGGATTAGATCTGTTAGTCGTGTACAATGCCCTTCGTGGCACCATACTAGTTTAATCTACTTTCTTTTCATTTAGGTTAGGATTCTTTTTTTCCTTAGGACTAGACGTGCTAGTGGTCGAGAATGCCCTTCGTGGTACCATCCTAGTTTAATTCGATTTTCTTTACCTTTAGTTATGGATTCTTACTTTTCTTAGGATTAGACAAGCTAGGGGTGGTAACGTGCTTCGTGGCACTATCCTAATTTAATCTAATTTTTTCCCTTAAGTTTTGATTTTTAGTATTAAAGGTGCAAGTGGGGGATGATAATACCCTTCGTTGCACCATCCTAGTTTGAATTCAATTATCTTTTCCTTTATATTAGGATTCTTTCTTTCCTTAGGATTAGACATGCTAGTGGTGGACAATCCCCTTTGTGGATAACGCGCTTTGTAGCACCATCCTAGTTTAATCCATTTTTTTTACTTTAGATTAGGCTTTTTCCTTTCCTCAGGATTAAATATGTCAGTGGGGGATAATGCCTTTAGTGGTATCATCCTAATTTTAACTCAAATATCTTTTCTTTTAGGATAGTATTCTTCATTTCCTTAGGATAAACGTGCTAGTGTTGGACAATGCCCTTAATGACACCATCATAATTTAATCTTATATTCTTTTCTGCTTTAGGTTAGAATTCTTCCTTTTGAATGATTAGACATGCTAGTCGTGTACAATGCCACTTGTAACACCATACTAGTTTAATAGAATTTTTTTTTTCATTTAGGTTTGGATTATTTTGTTCTTTAGGATTAGACGTGAGTGTGGTGGATAATGTCCTTCGTGGCACCATCCTAGTTTTTTCCAATTTTTTCTCCTTAGGTTAAGATTTTTCCTTTCCGTAGGATTAGACATGCTAAGAAAAGGTTGGATAGCTCCAGTAGAAGATAAGATTAGAGAGAGTCGCCTTAGATGCTTTGGTCTCATAAAACAGCGGCCTTCCAATGACCCGGTTAGGAGATTAGAGGTATTAGATTTGACTTATGTTAAGAAAGATAGAGGCAGACCTAAAAAGTCTTCGTTAGAAAATATTAGGAATGACATTCCTTTATTATATTTAAACAAGAATTTGACCTTTAATTGAATACAAAGGATAAAAAGATTCATGTAGCCGACCCACATAGTGGGATAAAGGCTTGATGTTGTTGTTGTTGTTGTAAGATTAGACGTGCTAGAGGTGGACACCATCCTAATTTAATCCAGTTTTCTTTTCCTTTAGGTTAGAATTTTTCCTTTCCTTAGGATAAGACGCGCTAGTAGTGAATAATACCCTTCGTGGCACCATCTTAGTTTAATCTAGTTTTCATTTCCTTTATTTTGTGATTATTCATTTCCTTAGGATATGGCATGCTAGTGGTGAATAACGTCCTTCATGACACCATTCTAATTTTATTACGATTTCTTTTCCTTTAGGTTAGAATTCTTCCTTTTTGTAGGATTAGATGTGTTAATCGTGTACAATGTCATTCGTGGCACTATACTAGTTTAATACAATTTTCTTTTCATTTAAGGTTGGATTGTTTCGTTCATTAGGATTAGACGTGCTAATGGTGGATAATGTCATTCTTGGCACCGTCCTAGTTTATTCCAGTGTTTTTTTAGGTTATGTTTTTTTTTTTTTTCGTAGGATTAGACATGCTAGGTGTGGACATCATCCTAGTTTAATATAATTTTCTTTTCCTTTAGGTTAAAATTTTTCCTTAGTATTAGACGTGTTAGTAGAGGACAATACCCTTCGTGGCACCATCATAGTTTAATCCAGTTTTTATTTCCTTTATTTTGAGATTATTCCTTTTCTTAGGATATGACGTGTTAGTGGTGAATAACGCACTTCGTGACACCTGCCAAGTTCTATCACATTTTCTTTTTCTTTTTGTTAGGATTCTTCTTTTTCGTTCGATTAGACATGCTAATGGTGGATAACACACTTTGTGACACCAACCTAGTTTCATCCAATTTTCTATTCATATAGGTTAGTATTTAACCTTTCATTACGATTAAAAGAGCTTTTGGTGGATAATGTTCATCGTGGCATCATCCTTATTTTAATCCCATTTCTTTTCCTTTAGGTTAGGATTCTTCCTTTTCATAGGATTCAACGTGTGAGTGGTGGATAACTTTGTTTGTGGCACCATCATAGTTTAATCAAGTTTTTTTTCCTTTAGGTTAAGATTATTCCTTTCCTTCAGACTAGACGTTTTCGAGGTGGACAAATGCCCTTCATGGTACCATTCTAGTTTAATTCAGATTTCTTTTTCTTTAGTTTTGGATTCTTTTTTTTCGTAAGATTAGACCTATTAGTTGTGTACAATGCCCTTCCTGGCACCATACTAGTTTAATCTAGTTTTCTTTTCATTTAGGTTAGGATTCTTCCTTTCCTTAGGATTTGTCATGGTAGTGGTGGCACCATCCTAGTTTAATTTAGTTTCTTTTCCTCTTGTTTAGGATTCTTACTTTCCTTATGATTAGACAAGCAAGGGGTGGATAACGCGCTTCGTGGCACTATCCTAGTTTAATCCAATTTTTCTTTCTTTTAGGTTAGGATTTTTTTTCCCTTAGGATTAAACATGCTAGTGAGGGATAACGCCCTTCGTGACACCATCCTAGTTTAAATCCAGTAATCTCTTCCTTTTGGTTAGGATTCTTTCTTTTCTTAGGATTAGACGTGCTAGTTGTGGATAATGCCATTTGTTACACCTTCCTAGTTTAATCCAATATTCTTTTTCCTTTAGGTTTTGATTCTTCCTTTTCATATGATTAGACGTACTATTCATGTATAACGCCCTTCGTGGAAACATACTAGTTTATTATAATTTTCTTTTCATTCAGGTTAAAATTTTTTCTTTCCTAGGAATTAGACATGCTAGTGATGGACAATGCCCTTTGTGGCACCATGATAGTTTTAGATGTTCAAGTCGTGCACAACGTCCTTCGTGGCACCATTCTACTTTAATCAATTTTTACTGTAGGTGAAGATTCTACCATTCTGTAGAAGTAGACGTTCTAGGGTGGGCAACACCCTTCGGGGCACCATCCTAATTTAATCCTTTTTTTTTTTAAATTTAATCCATTTTTTCTGTAGGTGAAGATTCTACCATTCCGTAGAAGTAGACGTTCTAAGGTGGGCAACACACTTCGTGGCACCATCCTAATTTAATCCCTTTTTTTTAAAATTTAGGTTCATATTTTTCATTTTCTTAAGATTAAACGTGCTATTGGATGACCATATCCTTTGTGGAATCATCCTAGTTTTAATTTAGTTTTCTTTTCCTTTAGGTTAGCCTTAATTATTTCCTTAAAATTTGACTTGGTAGTGGTAAATAACTCCCATCATGGCACCATCCTAGTTTAATCCAGTTTTCTTTAACTTTTGGTTAGCATTCCTCCTT